TGCGTGTGTGTGTCTGCCATCTGAGTGCATACTGAACCCAAGCCCCACCACGCCCTCTCAACCTCCTTCATCCCCGAAACCTTCGGCCAACCTCCTTCCACGTACCTGTCGGTGAGTCCGCCGGGGAGGATGTGGGCGATGACGTAGCGAGGGCGCGCTGGCCGAGGATGTAGAGTCCGAGGCCCTCGTCGCCGTCGTCCTTCACGAGGCGGATCAGGCGGAAGGTCTTGTTTGGTGAGGGCGGCTGCGGCAGCTGGCGGGCGGGGCGTGGGGGCGCGGCAGGGAGGGGCCCGCCGCCGGTACGCGGGCGCGTCGCCGTACAGGGAGTCGGCGTCGACGTCCTCGGCCGCCATCGCGTCCCGCCACCGCCACGACTCGGCGCGGTCCAGCGAGGCCGAGCGCGAGTAGCGGCGCCGCTGGTCGTAGGCGGTCTCGAGGCCGCGGTCGTCGCGCTCGAAGCGGTCGATGCGGTTGAGCCTGTCGAGGCGGTCGAGGCGCTCCAGGTCGAGCGACGCGCGCTTCGAGTGCGCGTCCTCGGGGTAGATGGCCTCGTACAGACCGTCGGACGAGGTCGAGGAGGCCGGGTAGCTCATGCGGGCGTAGAGCCGCGGCTGCGAGCGCGGGCGGCGTCTGATGGGCGGGTGCGGCCCGTCGCCGCAGTGGCAGTGCTGGCAGCACTCGCCCGTCCGCGCCCGGAGCTTCTCCTCGTCCGTCAGCAGAGGGCGCCCTCCGCCGCCCTTGCCGCCGCCCACCTTCTTCTCCGAGCCCTGCGGCGCCGCCCCGAGGTCCGAGCTGAGCTTCCTCGCGGCGCGACTTCCCTCGGGCTTGATGTACACCGAGGACCTCCCCTCGTCGGCGGCCGAGCCCTTCACGCGCACGGTCACCACGAAGTCCCCGTCGCCGAAGCCTGTGGGCGCCGGGATGGGCGAGATGATGTCCCTGGGGGCGGCGTCGCCCTGCCCCTCGCCCTCCCTGCGGCCCCCGCTGCCTCTCTCCTCCAGCTCCTCCTCCTCCTCCTCCTCGCGAGTCCACTTCGTGTTTTCCGACGAATCGGAGCAAGACGACTTCGTGTCCGAGTTTTCCGAAAAGGACGACTTGGAGTCCGACGTCTCCGAGTAGGAGGTTCTGACGTCGGATATGCTGCCGCAGTGGCTGCCGGTGCCACGCCCGCTGTCACCACACTCTTCCCTGGCGGTCGCTTGTTCCTCCGCGACCGAGGTAAGTCTGGATCTGAGAAACGCATACGGAAACTGCCCTTTCTTGGTCGCTCTGTCGTTCGCCTTTTCGCACTCGCCCTCGCCATCCCCCGCCGCCGCCCCGCCGTCCCCCGCCCGCGCCCTCCCTCGCCTCCCCTCTGCCCAGCACGTCCATGCCCGCCTCCAGCGCCGGCAGGTGGGACGTGGAGGCGCTCCTGAACAGCACCGTCCCCTTCGCACTCACTGGTTCGCGGTCCATGTCCTTGAGCGACTCGTACACATTGTCGGGGTCGTCCGCCGCGGCGCTCTTCGGGCTGCCGCCGGCGGGGCTCGCTTCGGGCGCCGCCTTGGCCACCCGCGGCGCCGGCGGGAGGTCCTCCAGGTCCTTCGCCGAGTCCCAGCTGCGGGACCGCCGGAACAGGTTGCGGATGCTCTCCACGCGGTCCACCTTGGCCCGGCGCGGCTGGCGGGCGCCGGTGGGGGCGGCGTCCTTAGCGCCCGACGTCGGCGTCTCCGCGTCTTTGTTGGGCCGCCAGTTCCTCCGGCGGGTGCGCGTGGAGCCCAGCGGGAAGTGGATGTGCTCCTTGCTCTCCCCGCGGGTCAGCTGCTCCAGCTTCTTGCCCATCTTCTTCCCCCATGTTGAGAACCCTGAGGAAAAAAAGAGAAACAAGCAATGAACACGGGTTGCACCTCGGCCGGGGGACAGCAGAATCAACAGCAAAGGAACAAACGGGCGAGCGCAATGCACCCTCCCCACCACGCCGCGTGTGAAATGCCGACGGTCCCGCTAGGAGTACCAGGCCAGGCATCATCATGGTCAGACCGCGGCCCCGAGCCACGATTACATCAAGCCGAGAAACAGGTTTATCGTCGCGGGGCCTTCGCGTAACGCACACATACCGCACGTTTTGGCTTTGGGAAACGCGGAACAGAGGCGAGAGGATCGTAACGAAGTCAGGAACGATACGTAGCGCCCCGTGCCGTACTCGGACACTCGGCTGGGGAAGGAATCTCGTAACACGTGCAGATAAAACCGCAAAATACCTCTTCGCGTAGACGACCCGCCTCGGGGAGCTGCAAACCGCAAAGTGTATCGCCTAAATACACGCAGTACTCCTCCCCCTTCTGCTCTCCTGCCCTCCCCCGTCCCCTTCTCCCCCCTTCTCTCCTGCCCTCTCCCATTCTCCACTCATGCCCCTCCCCTCCCCCCTTCTCCTCTCCTGCTCTTACCTCCACTCATCTACTCCCCCTTTCTCCTTCCCTTTCTCCCTTCTGCTCTCTTGCTCTCCCCCTTTCTCCTCCCTTTCCCTTCCCTCCCCTCCCCCCCTTCTCCTCTTCTGCCCTCTCTCATTTTCTACTCATGCCCTCCCCTCCCCCCCTTCTCCTCTCCTGCTCTCACTCCTCCACTCCTCTACTCCCCCTTTCTCCTTCTGCTCTCCCCCTTTCTCCTCCCCTCCCTCCTTCTGCTCTCCTGCCCTCCCCTCATTCCTTCTCCTCTCCCTCCTTCTCTTTTCCTGCTCTCCCCTCCTTCCTTCCCCTCCCCCCCTCCCTCCCTCTTTCACCCCTCCCCCGAGAAGCGGAGACCCGAAACGAAATCTCGGGTCAGCCATTCGGACACCTCAAGTGACCTCGTCTGCCATTGCAAGGCGAGAAGGAGAGGGGCCGGCCCCGTGTCAGCCCCGCTCGCTCGGTCCAAGTGGTAGCGGTGGATGGGTGGGGTGGGGGTGGGGGGGTACCTGAGGGATTTTCGCCCCCTGGGGTACCTCGGCCACCTGGCGCTCGTTCCATCGCTACGAGTCGCAGGATGGTAGCGAGGGAGATGGTAGGAAGAGCGTGTGGATATGGGGATGGTAGAGAGAGAGAGGGAGAGAGAGGAGAGAGGAGGGAGAGAGGGAGAGGAGAGGGAGAGGGAGGGAGAGGAGGGAGGAGAGGGAGGGAGGAGAGGAGGGAGAGGAGAGGGAGGGAGGGGGGAGGGAGGAGAGGGGAGAGAGAGAGAGAGGGAGGGAGAGAGGGAGGGAGGGGAGGGAGGGAGAGAGAGAGAGAGAGAGAGAGAGAGGAGGAGAGAGAGAGAGAGAAGAGATAGAGAGAGGAGAGAGGGAGGAGAGGAGAGAGAGGAGAGGGAGAGAGAGGAGATAGAGAGAGGGAGGAGAGGAGAGAGAGAGAGAGAGAGACAGACGGAGAGGAGAGAGAACAGAGGAGAGAGAGCGAGAGCGAGAGCGAGAAGAAAGAAAGGAAAGAGGGAGAGAGAGACAGACAGAGAGATGATGATGATGGCGTGACCAGCTGTTCGTCAGAAGAGAACGGAGCCCAGACACGCAGACACGTGACAGACACAGACACCTGGCGGGCTGAACGTTCCGGACCTCGAGAGAACACCGCCGGGAAGTCAAAATCGAGATCCCAAAAAACCGCAAAAATTAGAAAAAAAAGTAATTAAGGAGGAGGATGAAGCACCAGGTGGATGAAGCAACGCGATGCCGGCCGACCACACCCATCCGCGCCCCCATCCACCTATCCACATATCTACCCTGTCAGCTCATCCACCCATCCACCTACTTGAACTCGCCGATTCACCCATTTCACTCATCCATCCATCCACCAATTCACCCTTTCGCCCCCGCACCCCGTCACAATCCACCTACCACCAATCCATCCCCACCCCCCATCCAACCCCCTCACTCATCCACTCATCCACCGAACCACCCCCTCACTCATCCACCCATCCACCCCTCACTCGTCCACTCATCACCGAACCACCCCCTCACCATCCACCCATCCACCCCCTCACTCATATCATCATCCATCCACCTCATCTACCCCCCTCACTCGTCCAACTCATCCTCCTCACTCATCCACTCACCCACCCCCTCACTCATCTCCCTCGCCCCTGAACAACCGCATTCGATGACGTCACAGAGGAAGAGGAATGAGGAGGAAGAGGTACATAACTCCCCCCACCTTCCCCTCCTTCCCCCCCAAGTCCCCTCCCCTTCCCCTCTTCCCCCCAAAGTCCCCCCCCCTTTCCCCTTCTTCGCCCCTCCAACTCCCCCCCTCCCTCTCCCCCCCATCCCCCCCTTCCCCTCTCCCCCCAAGTCCCCCCTTCCCCCCTTCCCCCCAAGTCCCCTTCCCCTCTTCCCCCAATCCCCCCCTTCCCCTCTTCCCCAAGTCCCCTCTTCCCCAAGAGTCCCCCCTTCCCCTCTTCCCCCCAAGTCCCCCCCCACCCTTTTAAATACCCTCAACGTGTAACAACACCGCCACGGAGACACCCTGTACACACACCATCAGTCACCATTACTCACAATCAAACAATTTGCCACCATGACCCAATTGTAAGCTATTTCTCTCCACACAATTAGCTTACACATCCCCCTCCCCCCCTTCCCTCCTTCCTCTCCCTCAACCAGCTACACACACACACACACACGCCGCGCGCTTGCGCGCGCACACGCACACGCTCTCTCTCTCTCTTTTTTCTCACACACTACGCTCTCTCTCTACTCTCTCTCTCTCTCTTTCTCTCTCTCCTCTCTCTCTCTCCTCTCTCTCTCTCTCTCTCTCTCTCTCTCTCTCTCTCTCTCTCTCTCTCTCTCACACACGCTCTCTCTCTCTCTCTCTCTCTCTC